GTCATATAAAATTTATATATAAACATAGTAAACGTCACGTCACATACGTCACGTCAAACGTCATAGTAAATGTTAATGTCTGCAGCTCTAGTCCAGACCCGGTCCGAACTAGTTCCCCGTGGACCAAATATGATATACTTGCGGGCAAACCCATAGGTTTATGGGTTTCGCCAATAAAATAGATAAATGATTAACATTTTCACATGACATCATGTCTGTTTTCGTGTAACATCCTGTAAGTACTACAGTATATACTAAGAAATTTAATGTCGATATTGATACGTATTAAAAAAAAAAATTCGAATTTTGGTTTTTTTTTGTTTCGTTATTACTTTTCTATTCAGCCCAAACACTGAATCCCTTTTAAAATAATGGTGTTAGCCGATCTCGGCCGTCGGATCAATGCTGCTCTAGCTAAAATCAATAAGGAGCCTGTAATCGACGAAAAAGTATGCTCTCATTTCTTTATCTCATGCGATCTATATCTATATAAATAATTCTTTACAATTACTCAAAGGTACTTGATGCTGTATTGAAAGACATCTGTCATGCACTTTTGGAAGCTGACGTAAATGTTCGTCTGGTCGGAAGTTTGAGAAATAATGTAAAGACTGCAGTCAACATTCAAGATCTTGCCGCTGGAATTAATAAGAGGAGAGTCATACAAAAAGTACGTTAATGTCTAAATTATTCCCGAATTCTTGATACATACAAGTTTCATTCTAATAATATTTTTGTTTCTTGATTATACTTCTAGACTGTTTTAGATGAGCTTTGTAGACTTGTTGAACCTGGTACTGAACCATATAAACCAAAGAAAGGTGCAACCAATATTATAATGTTTGTTGGTTTACAGGGCAGTGGTAAAACAACAACTTGTACAAAAGTGCAGTATATTATCATTTATTATTATTATTACTATTATTATTATTTTCTTGTAATTATTCCGTAAAAATTTAACCATCATTCATGTACAATATAGTTGGCATATCATTATCAACGTAAAGGTTGGAAAGTATGTCTAGTATGTGCTGATACATTTCGTGCTGGTGCATTTGATCAATTGAAACAAAATGCTACTAAAGCAAAAATACCATATTATGGAAGGTTCGTTAGTCAGATGCATCGTTTCAGAGCCTCCCTTTATAATTATCATTATTAAATTATTTTCATATTTATAATAGTTACACTGAAACTGATCCTGTTCAAATAGCCCATGAAGGTGTTGAAAAATTTAAAAAGGAGGGTTTTGAAATAATCATTGTAGATACTTCTGGGAGACATAAACAAGAAACTGAATTGTTTGAAGAAATGAAACAAATTTCTGCTGTAGTTGTAAGTTATCTTAAAATAATAATAATAATGTTATAGTAGTAATAGCATTATTAATTTAATATTAATTATCTCCCAATTTTAGAATCCTGACAATACTATTTTCGTAATGGATGGAACAATCGGTCAGGCTGCTGAATCTCAGGCAAAAGCTTTTCATGAAGCTGCTGATATTGGTTCGATTATAATAACTAAAATGGATGGTCATGCAAAGGGTGGCGGGGCTATATCAGCGTAAGGCATTGGTATGAATTTATATTGTGCTCAAAAACACAAAGCACTTCTTGGTTTTTACGCTTTTCTTTTCCCATTGATATTGTTAAAATGTATTTAAAGTGTCGCAGCAACACATAGTCCAATTATTTTTATTGGTACCGGTGAACATATTCATGATTTAGAAAGATTTGAACCTAGGCGATTTGTACAAAAAATGCTGGGTTAGTTTGGTCTTTTATTTTCGTTAATATTTTTTAAATTCTCTATCATAATTATTATATTTATTTTTTTTTTACGTTAATAATTTTTAAAAAGGTATGGGTGATCTTACTGGTCTCATTGAAAAAGTAGAAGACTTAAAATTAGACCAGAATAAGAATTTGCTGAAAAATTTGGAGCAGGGTTAGTTATAAACTTTAATAAATTTATAAGGTTGTCTATTTTTTTTTTTTTTAATATTAATACGTGATTTGAATACGGATACACATTTAGGTATTTTTACTATCAGAGATATGTATGAACAATTTCAAAACATATCTAAAATGGGTCCATTGTCGAAAATGATGCAAATGATGCCAGGTATGTCAGAGATGAACCTTGAAGGTTCAGACGAACTAGGTGCACAACGAATTAAAAGGTATTTATTTTTGTGGTAATAATATTTATATTTATTGAATTGTATTAATTTGACTTATTTAATTTACAGATTGATGACTATAATGGACAGTATGAGTGAATCGGAGCTTGATTCTGATGGTAAAATTTTTATACAACAGCCTGCTCGCGTACTGCGTGTGGCACAAGGTTCCGGTACATCTGTTAGAGAGGTTGAAGAGCTTTTAGTTCAACATAAGGAATTTCAAGGAATGGTTAAAAAGTTTGGTGGCAACAAAGGATTGCTCAAAGGTAAAAAAAAAAAAGAATAATTATATTTGTTTTACATAACCTTATATTAACGATAAATAACTTTTTTTTTTATGTTTAAAGGGATGGGTTCCGGAATGGATGCAAAAATGTCTCCTCAACAATTACAACAGAAAATGGCACAAATGCAGAGGGTAAGACGAATATTACTTAAATTGGTTTCTAAAAATTTATTAAAAATTTATTATATTTTTTATATTTTTTCAGATGCTTCCTCGTGGTATGCCAGGTGTGAACAATATGATGCGGCAGATGGTTAGTTGTATTTCAAATGTCATTGTGCTATTATTCCTCATTATATTATTAATGAATTCTTTTTTTGTAGATGGGTGGTGGTGGTTTAGGAGGTATGTCAGATTTAAGTTAAATGCAAAACATGAGGTACGCCGGAAATCGACGATAAGGTTTATAGTTTCTGTTATTATTAACTTTTAACAATGTTGAGTAGACTTGAAGTAATGTCTATTTTACCTTTTTTTTAACCTTTAAAGTAATAATTAATACATTGAATTTGGCATGTATCAAAATAATATAAATTTTTTTATTACTATGTTGAAAATATCTAGTAATCACCGCAGGTGATTATCACCTTATTTATATATACTATATATATATAGATATAATATATATATAATATATATTATGTGGTACGACAGGTGATTATCACCTTATTTACATTAGTAATAATATATATATAATATATATTATGCGGTACGACGGTGCGGAGGTAGAAACCAGACCCTCAGAAATTAATTGATGCAGGGTACGTATATAATACGTATTCACATTGTTTACCCAACTAATAAACAAATAGAGGTGATCGGACAGCGATTAATTTTTCTTTTCGCTTGCACTTTCGTTTACCAAGAATAGTCACGTTTTTCTCACGGAAAGCATAACATATAAGTGTTCGGCCTGTAGATTATGGAAAATCATACCTTTGGATCATTTCACAGTATGACGACGTCGTTTAACTCTGCAAGGTTAGTTAGAAGGATCGGTAGTACTATAAAATTATTTTCTAACAAGTTCGCTCTGTTAATGGTTACCAAGTGACCTTGTTATAGAACATAGGAATGATCTTACGTGGAATCAAGGGTTTGGAAGGTTAGTCCTACGATAGTTAATAAATTAGCGTTTGATCAGGACTATGAAAATGATTGTGTTAACATTTTATTTGTAACCTAGTTTCGAAAGTGAACCGAGCGATTTGTTATTTGATACATGTGAATATCAATCGAATTATAATTATCAAACCTTTAATTTGGATAATGGAACAAGGTATATTATATCTGCTTATATAATATCTGGGTATTCTGTGAATAATGCTGATGTTGCTTTTTTTTTATGTAGTTCACACAATGCTCATGAATCAAACAATGTATTAGTAGAGACTTATGGCCATCAAATTGTCAGTTCAAGTTATAATAGTCAAACTTTTAATTAGGAGACTGAAAAAAAGGTATGTGGTATTCGCTTGTAGCAGAGTGTTTTTGTGAATTATATTGAGTTCGCTTTTATGTAGTTCACAAGATACTCATAATCTTGCATCGAATCAGGGCTTTGAAAGGTTAGTCTCACATTAGTTTGCTAAATATTAGTGTTTGATTAGGTTTATAATTAATGATTTATTGGTGACTTTTGGCTTCCAGTCTGGAAAATGAGCCGAATGATTTGTTATTAGAGATGGACTATCAAATAGTTGATTCGGATGATGGTAGTTCTACTATCAATTTGGAAAATGAAACAAGGTATATGACATTTACTTATATCTGTGTGTCTATGAATAATACCAATTTACTTTATAAATATAGTTCACATAATAATGAAGAATCATGTAAAGACACTTTGCAATTATATATTGGTCGTTCGTTTAATGAATGGGAGGAAGTGGATAAATTCTTGGAATTATTTGGAAAGTGTAAAGGGTTTTCTTTTAGAAGAAACAGGAATGAATTTCACTCAGACCATTTAAGCATCTGTTATCATAGTTATGAATGCTCATATTCACGTGTGCATAAGGCTAAAAAAGTAGTTGATATAACCAAGCAGCATGAAAAGCTCTTAGCAACAATAAATTGTAAATGGCATGTTAATTTTAATAATCGTAAGGAAACTAAGGAGATAATTTGTACCTCTCTTGTTGATAAACACAATCACGAAATGAATCCCTTAGTTGCTCAAACAGCGCCACATTTTCATAAATTGTCAAAAGAGATGATTGAGGATGTAAGGTTTTATACATGTTCTACGGAGGGTATAGGTACTAATTTGCAGTATAATCTTTTGAAAGCAAGGTATCCTGACAAATATATTGACAAAAAAGATGTATACAATGCCATTCAACGATTCCGGGTGCCGTCTTGTAAAAACTTAGAAACTGATGCCACTGAGACTTTAAAAAGGTTATTGATATTAAAAACTGAAGATTCTGATTGGATAGTTGTACCTAAAATTGAAGGCAAAGGAAATAGATTGACTGCCCTTTTTTGGATGTCGCCATTACAAGTTTCACTATGGGCTTAATTTCATAATATTGTATTGACCGATAATACCTGTAAAACCAATCGCTACGAAATAGCATTGTGTTTTTTTTTGATAATTGATAATAACACTTGTTTACATATTGTTGCACAAGCATTATTAGAAGACGAAACACAAGCTTCTTTCGAATGGGTTTTAGAACAATTAATTAGTACAACGAGTGGTATCATTCCTAAGACTATATATTCTAACGCTGACCTAGCTATGGGTGCAGCTTTGCAAAACATTTTTCTCAATACACACCATTCTCATTGTATATTTCATATAAATAACTTTATTAAAAAAATAAAACCAATCATGGGTAAAAATTTTGATAAATATTATAAGCTTTTCTATTATTTCTGTAATAGCCTATTCGAAGCTGATTTCGAGCAACATTAAGCACAATTTGTTGAGTTTATTAAGTCATTCTCTAAAGCAACACGATATGTACTTGGGACTCTTTATCCTGCATATTATAGTTGGGCAACTTGTTATACACAAGCACGTTTCACCGCTGGCGTCCAAAGTACTCAGCGTGTAGAAAGAATCAATGCAATTATCAAGAAAGAGGTTTCACGTAATACAACATTGTTATATCTGGTTGATGCAATACAAAATAGGTTAAATAAAGAAGCTCATTATGCAAGCAAAAAAATACAAATCCTACTATAGGCTTGCCTCACGTTGCAGGTCGATATTTTCCAACTATAGATTCTTTGATCCAGGAGTACTTGATTTCATATATTCTCTCTTTACAAAGACAGCAGCTTTCTAAAAGTTTTTTGTACGAAGCTACTGAACTTTCTTTTGATTGGAATAAAGATTTCTCTGAACCGGAAAATGTCATGGAAGATGGGTATATCGAAGATGATTACGAGTGGCGTCAAACAGGTCTTAGGTCACTGCTACAAACTTTAAAGTGTGAGGATGTTTTACAAATATGGACCATAACTCCACAAGGATCTTTTCCAAATCATTTTAGCAATCATGTTGTATTACTTGCAAATGGCACACATTTATGCACTTGTCTTACTTTGATTAGTAAGGGAATCGTCTGCCGTCATTTCTTTAAAGTTCTTATGAAATCACATCTTGCTAGATTTCATATTTCTTTGATATCAGGCCGGTGATATAAAAATAGTTTGAATGATAGAGATTTTATTTCTTTGTATCCACCTATAAGATTGTGTGAAGCCAACCAACCTTCGCTATCTGATAACAATACTTATGTAATTAATTTCAGATATCTAGCTCAGCTTCGTACTAGCAATGTACTTATTTCAACTTTGAAAAAATCCAATAGTGAGAAGAGCCGTTGGTCTAAAGGCTACGGAATATCCAAGAAAGCGTTGAATCTAATGATACGTCTTAACTGCAACAATGAGTTTTTTCAAATGATGGAAGAGTTTATTTCTTCGAAAACACGTGAGTTAGAACTTTTGAAAAACAGGAAGGAAAAGAAAAATGATAAAGAAAATGATAAAGAAAATGGTGAAAATGTAATTGAATCACAACAATATGTAGTTGCGAATCCATATGTAACTAAATGTTGTGGTAGACCACCTAAACGTTTCAAAGATGCACTTGAAAATATTACTAATACTTGTCAAATGGTGGTTCATAATGAGCAATGTGAAAGAAAAAGGAATAAATGTAATAATTGTAGGATTATAGTTATAATGTTAGAACCTGTTCAGTATAATTGATCATATAAATGTAGCCAATACAGAACATGTTGTTTGCTTAAATTGTAAAGATATGTTTGTTACAATTAAAATTGATATGCACTAAATTCACAAGTCTGGGTTCAGTAATTAAATTTGAGTCGGTTAATTATGTATTATTTTAATTTTAAAAGCTATTGTTACTATTGAAAATGAGAGCTATACCCAATAATTAACTTTATCGATAGTTAGAAAGGCTTGTTCACATGATATGTCGAATTAAGTAAATAATTTGTATTTGTATAGTGAGGAGTATATTTAAATCAGTTAATTAACAAGACATTATTTTATAACGTCTATGCTTTATATATCTTGGTTACTAAGAGATATAACTTGAGGTTTACTATTATTATGTTCGACTAATATGTATTGTGATTTTTTCTAGTATTATTAGAGCAAAAAATAGAAGTTTATGTTAAGGCTAGAATAAACATTTATATTAGGGTTAAATGTTAGTGGTATATCGATACTGATTACAATCAATTTATATGATAAAAGGTAAGAGTCAAATCGAAATAGTGTTTATGTATCATTTTGTAAAAATTTTCTTGTTAGAGTGCAGAAGGTACTGTAATATATATCAGAAGTTTTTTAATAGACGCTATATATTTATAACCCATAGATTTTATTGGTGAGTGATCTATTAATATTTCATTGTCTAAAATCTCCAATTCTGATCACAATAAAGTCTGTAAATTTATTATATTCGAGATAATTAAGATCATCGAAAATAGCTTTTCAAGCCATTCTTTTGATATCTTTGCTGTTACTGATGATCTCAGTCAAAAAATACAAAAATAGCTTTCTTCTGATATCTTTGCCATTACTGATGATCTTGGTCAAAAAATATGCTATATGTTCGTATATACATCATAAGTTGCTGCATAAACCACCCCCAGGTATGTTACTTAAATCTGTATGAAATTGATTCAGATCTGGGATCTGTATAGAGGTCTACTATAAGAGGGTCTGTTGCGCAATAAAAAATATTATTGTCAGGGGTATAATACCTAATACGTGATTAGTACATGACCCCAGGTTAGTATTATACACTGTTTTGACGATCATTATATAAATTATATGTTGTGTAACAAATAATAAATCATATGATATTATATATATATATATATATATATATAGTATATATACACAGGTCGAAAGATAAAAAATCAGACACAAATCAAGTACCCGATTTTAAACTGATTACTACCTGATTACCACCTGATTATGCATATTTTTGTACCAAAAATTTGGTACAAAAATATGCATAAATCAGGTGGTAATCAGGTAGTAATCAGTTTAAAATCGGGTACCTGATTTGTGTCTGATTTTTTATCTTTCAACCTGTGATATATATATAGTATATATATATATATTATTATAGGTGATTATCACCTGCAGTGCAAATTAGTAATTTCTTTTGAATAATATAAATTAATAAATAATATATTACTTATTTTTAAAAAAAGATTAAAAAAACTTAAAATGAAGTTAGTAGTATAATATATAATAAATAAAAAATGAAAACTTAAAAATTTAAAAGTAAATCAAAAAAAACTAAAATAAATTAAAAGATTTAGTAACAAAAAAAATTTGAATATAAAACAATTTTAAAAATAAAAACTAGTTTGTATAATTTAAGTAAACTTTAAATTATTTGATTTTGTTCGAATTGTTGCAAAAAGCTTAAATTGGTACAACAATGTTGATTGTAAATCTAATTATATCCTATTTATAGTAAAATACTTGGTACTTATTATGTGATTTTAATTTTATTATAAATACATATTATTGAACTTTTTCAAATTCTGAAATATTTTTGTATATTTAAATAGTTTGATATAATTATATTATATTTGAATATATTCAATTTATTCAAAATAAATTAAATAAATTTTTTACTACACTAAGCATAATAAAACTTAAAATAATGTTAATGTAATAAATTTAATTTATATATACTATATATTTCTAAAAATAGCAACCTCTAAAAGAAGCTACCCCCTTTTCTCTTGAAGAGAAAACATAAGAAACACCTTTGTTCTGAAAATAAGCTATTTCTATTAGCCATAAGTAGTTGCTATATATAAAAGTCGAAATTCTATTAAGTAAATTGACAAAAGTCACTTAATAGTGATTGTTCAGATAGTAAAAATACACCTATTCTAAGATGTTTTTGCATTTTACGTTTGAATATAAAATACAAAAACATCTTAGCAGTCAATCAAGATGTCATGCAGATCAGGTAAATAAAATTTTTACTATGAAATTTGAGTAATTAACACTCATATGAAATTCTCAATTTTCATAGTAAATTGCAACAGTAAGCTAATTTTTATTATTATTTTCAGAGTTTTATAAAAAAAATGTGTTCTGAACAACATAAACAATTTGGCATTACAAATACTTTATTATGTTTTTAGAGTAAAAAAAATAATAACTCAAAAAGAATCATACCTTTAAAGATGCTCTTCTGTTTTATAATCTATAACAGGTAAATTTTTAAAATTCTAACTAAGAACTAAGTTACTTTTACCTTGCACCGACTTCTTTTACTTTGTACTGACTTTTTTTACTTTGCACCAACTTGTAAGGTTTCTTAACAACATAAACTTACAAGATCTTTATTTTTAATTTACAACTAGTTGTAAACCTGTACAATAATATACAGGAATAAACTTATAAAATTTTTAAATGTAATTTTAAAATAAAATAAATATATAGTGTAGTAATATCACTTTGGTGGCAATAACTATACTACTTGATAACGTGTCAAGAGTAAGAAATGTGAATAAACAAAGAAAGAAAACAAAAGAACAAAAGAACAAAACAAAAACAAAATAAAAACAAAAATAAAGAAAAAATAATAAAAACACTTAATACAATAAGTATATTCCAAAGAAACTTTTAGAAGCAAAAGTATAATATTTTTATTCAATATAGAAGAGTTCAAGAAGAAATATTTTTATATCTTAAAAACTTTAAAGTGAAGTCCAGAAAACCTGTCTTGTCTAAGAAGAAAAAGCAAGGTTTACAACATATATCAAAAGAATAAGAAATAATAAAAACTATAAAAAACCTAAGGAAACAATAAGAAACTATAAGAAACATAAAGAAATATTAAAAAACTATAAAAAACATAAAGAAACATTAAAAAACTATAAGAAACATAAAAAAATATTAAAAAACTATAAGAAATATAAAGAAACATTAAAAAATATTAATAACAGAATAAAATAACAGAATAAAAACCGTATGACAAAATAAAAATAGTATTAGATCTTTCAGTACCCTGTTTATCGATTATCTAACTATCTATCTAACCGATCATAATGTACTATAGCTTATTTTAATCATCAGAGTCTTCTGGATCTGCTAGAGATAAAATCCTTAACATATTTTATAATACCAACACGTTTTATACTAATAAACCTAATATCAAATAAAATAAAATAAAAATAAAATAAAATAAAAAAAATAAAAAATATGCTAATATAACAATAAAAAATATACTAATATAACAATAGTAAAACTTTTATAATTAGAGGTTAGGGTCCTGTAGCCTAGTAGTCTAGGCATCTAACCCTCCACAAACAAGGTTAACAGTTCAATTATAGCTAGTAGTAATTAATTTAATTAATTATCTCTGTAACCTTCGGGGCTTTTAAATGCGGAACCCTGTGGCAATAAGACTATATGAAGTACATATTTGGCTAATAAAGAATTCTTGGAAGGAGTCCCGAGCCATGGAGAAGATCAGGCACTGCATGTGATATGGGTCACACTGCAGAAGGCTGTGCGTATAAATCTGCGATTGGCAAGATAGCACCAACAACTCTAAGGCGGCATTGGGATCTTGATTGGGAGAATAGCTATATGCAATATATCCAGAAGTAGTAAAAAAAGTGGTGAACATAGTAAGGAGCTATGGTAAAAGAATAGCTTTACCAAATATGGAACACCTCTGGCACAAGAAAACAAAGAAAACCGGCTAAAAAAAATCCCAAAAAGCATAGAAGCAAGCACTCCAATAGTACAAAAATAAAGTCAGCTAGTAAGTAATGTATCACACAACCTATATGAGAGTCATGAAAGTATGACAAAACATGACAGAAGCACAGGTCCCAGATTAGTAGCTTGTGACAATAATTAAATAAAGTACTTAACTCCTATCTTAAGAATCTAGACTTCTGTAATACTATACCAAGAGAGAGTACTATAAAAGGAGTAGTAGCCTAATTTGGTGATGTATGATGTGAATACCTGGAACTATGTAAACAGTTCTTCTAATGGCAGCAGCAGGTGGCTTGAGATACAGGTCTTCGGACGGTAGTAGCATCTGGCTTGAGATACGGATTAGGATCTAAAATAATATCTCAAAAGACACCAAACTGGAAGCAAGAAAAGCATCTACTTTTAGGACACCAATTTGGAAGTTATACAAGAAACGAATTAGAGGTAATGTGATAAGTGATGAGGGTAGATTATAACTAGTAGGCATTGTACAGTAGTATATCAGTCGCACGATTTGGCACACTATTTTGCTTGTAAATTTTTATATATATAAAATTATAAAAAAAAGCATATAAAATTACTATAAACTTTGATTCTGTGATGTTTTTTCACCTACATATTAATTTAAAATTAAATTGTGCAACA